CATCAGAGATCTAAGGAAGGAGCAGATATGTCTTTTTGGAAAAAAAAAAAAGATATATATATACATATGTACAATAAGAAATTGATAAAACGAGAGGGAAAGTCTGGCGTTGGTCGAGGATGAGGTTAAGGATGCCGCGGTTTACGGGCGGTTCAGGTTCCGCGTGAGGTTTAGGACGCGTTTTTCTGGCACAATTTCCTCGCCGATCGCGATCGGCTCGCAGCTGCGACGTCGCCGTTATCGGCGAGATGTCGTGGCGGTTGCATAAGTTTAACTCGCGATGGGAAAAAAATTTCTTCCTCAGAAAATTTGAAATTATTTTACTTCAAATTTTCTGAGCAAAAATTTTTTTCATGATTTTGATGGAAATTAACGATACGCACGATTCGAGAGTTTATTTCACGCTCTGCAATTAAATATCAGGCGACTTGTTTACCCATTGCGTAATTTTATATGCATAACAAGCCTTCATGCATAAATCACGCCAACAATACGAATTTTTATTTTATAATACGAAGTGCAAACGCATAAGCTGCTAAAATAACCCCGCAAGCTGCAAATTATTAATAATTTGTATTTATTCTTATTTATTTATTTATACCATTATACTATTTATTTATTTATACCAAGGCTCGCACGACAGCTTCACCTCCGACCTGTCGTGGAAGGAGGCCCCGGGCCCTGACCTGACGCCGTGCGTCCGCCGGACCATCGAGCGGACGGGCCGGCTCGGTCGCCTGTTCGCCATCCGCTGGTGCCAGACGCAGGACGCGGGGCTCGCCGAGCAGCTCGAGCTGGGCGTCAGGTGCGAATTCCTTGGGTTTTCGGAGTTAACGACGGGGAGATGAGTTTCGGAGTTTCATTTTTTTTTATTAATAATTATTATTCAACACGTGATGTGATTAGTTGCATGTACCGGTTATCATCTTCCACTTTAGTGTGGCCCTTCACACGAAAGTAACGGGCGCACAGGATGGAACCGACCACGTCCCACTAAGCGGCGACAGGTCGCTCATCCGAGGCACTCGATCCGTGAGCGCGTGAGCAGCTGCACGGAGCCGAGAAGGACGGCCGTCTGCATGCAGCCGGCCGACGAGTAAACTTTCGATCTTCTCCAGCTCTGTAGCCGGCGTGTCCTTCGTGCTGCCGAGATCATCAGGACGGCATGGTGCAGGCAGTAGCAGGGATATCGACCTCGAAGCTCGAGCAATCGGTCTTGGTGATTTGATCTCTTTTTCCTCCTTGCGAGAGATATTCCTCTCGGATGGGCTGGAGAATTCCGTCGCGAAGATCTCCTTCGCAACCCCATCAAATAACGTCCGTCTTCGTAGCAGTGAGTAGTCTGGTCGCGAAACGAGCACGATTCCGATATATCTTAACATTCGGACGCTCTACGACTGACCCCATTTCTGCAGGAACCCATGGGACCGTAGGATCTTTGTCGATCGCATGAGAGTGCCTCAGATGGTAATAAAGCACGCGCAGAGCATCGTTGTGACGACTGGCGTGAAGATCGGTCGCATCATGATTGCAGGTAGGCAACAGGTGAGAGAGAGAGAGTCTCTAGTGCTCTAGCACACGCCGGACGGATGGAATCCGTGTCTTCCCCAAAGGTGGTTCGTCGGTACTCGAGGGTACCGATTACACCGTCCCGACTAGCTGCGATGAATTCTTCCGTCTCCGATCGAAGGCCGGCTGATGTTAGGCAAGCGCGGATGAGGTTAGAGGAGAGACGAAGGTCTTTCCGATTTCGAAAGAAATTTGCAAAAGATGGGGCTCTTTTTGTTGCTGCGCCGACGGAGGCCAGCGACAGTTCTTTGGCCGATCGACCCCGAAAGGTGTTGCCTGTCCTGGCGATATTTAGAGACGGAGACGAGGATCGTGCTGCTGGCTCTGAAGCTTTCGTTAGGAAAGCTTTCTTCCCCGTGAATCCATTGTGAAAAGCGAGCTCCAGCCGTGGGTCCTCGGGCTGAATAACCCTGCTGGCCATACCCAGAGTTAAAGAGTCGTGCAGGTGCTCGAGGCTCGATAAACCCCGGCCCCCCCGATGACGTGGGAGAAATTGCGCCGAAATGACGCTTTGGGGTGGTGGCTACGATCGGCGGTGAGGACCTTGCGGGTGGCGATGTCGCTCGGCTCGGTTACGGTCCACTTAAGGATGCCAAAACTGTAAGACGAGACGGATACTGCCAGCATATTGATAACCATGAACTCATGGATTCCAGAGAGAGTTGCAAGGACCACACTCTCCAGTGGCGATCTTTGTACCTGCTGGTCACGGCCCTCTTGATGTCTAACGCGCGATGGCTTTCCCTTTCGGGCCAGCCAAGATAGGATGCCAAGCCAAAGATACTGTACTTAAAGGGCTCAGATGGTGCAAGGTGTTTCGTGATCGTCCCATCCACGAGCTAGAGGTCTTCGCCTAGGTCTGTGCGTCTGCCTCTATTCAGGTGGCACACTTGTCCGACACAAACTCCATACCGATGTCAAGGGTAAAGGAGTGAACTAATTCGAGAGCCTGTTGAAGTTGACCCTGATTACGCGCATGCAGGTCGTCCCTGTAAAGCAGATGGGTGACCCGGTGCGAGCGGCAGTTGGGTGGATCTGCTGTATTGACTGTCGTCTATTATTAATATTATTATTATTTTAGCTTTTCCAACTTTCGGCCGATCGAGAGGCCAAAATACGAAAATTTCACAAATATTTTTATTTATTTCCGATCATCTCCCCGTCGAGTCGATGAAGTCGTTTCGGACCGACCTTGACGACCCCTGCTTCCCGCGCAGATACATGGACTTCCGACTGGTCTGGGACGAGCCGAGCCGGACGGCGTTCGTGCTGCACGGGTTCCGCGGCAGGACGCTGGCGGATTGCTTGGAGGAGATCCGGCGGTTCCTCTTGGAGCACCCGAAGGAGGTGCTCATACTGGACCTCAAGTTGTTTTATGAGTTCGAGGAGGAGGGGCACCGAGAGGTGCTGAGGGGGGTGAAGGAGGCGCTGGGGGAGATGGTGTGTCCGTGTCGGGCGGGGGGGATCGCGGGAGTCACGCTGAAAGAGTTGAACGAGAAGGGGCAGCAGGTGATCGTGGTGTATCGGCATCGAGCGGGGGATGGGGGGGTGTGGTCGGGGTGTTTCTTTCCGGATCCGTGGCCGGATACGATGGATCCTGGGGTGCTGGCGACGTTTCTGGCGGAGACGGCGTCGAAGAGGCGAAAGGATCGCGCGCTGGTTTCGCAGGCCGTGCTCACGCCCGGTACGTGGTACGTCGCGAGGCATTTCTACGGGTCGCTCAAGTTCAGCGCGGCCAAGGAGGCCAACGGGGTCCTGAGGGAGTGGTTGGCCTCGGGGCGTGGCCTGGAGGGGGTCAACGTGGTCATGTTCGACTACGTCGGGTGGGATCCCGAGCTCTGCCGGCAGATCGTGGCGCTCAACGAAACGCGTTTCCGTGTGTGAAGTTTACCATATTTTATTGACATTTATAATGTTTCTGACTCGCTGTGATTGCTTCGACCCCACAGAACACCATTCCTCTAGAATAATCTTGCTCAAATGCTTTTGCTACAATACCACCATTCCACCTCTTCCCCGTGTTTCTTTTCCTACCGACTCGCTCCGGGCACGAACCACCCGTGCAGATCCTTCGGAACGGGCCCATCGGACTGGAAATCGACACGTGCCAGCTCCGTCCACGTCTTCGCGTCCAGGACGAGGAGGGTCACCTCCTTGTCCCGGCCGCGCGCTCGGAGCAGGGACGACAGAACCACACCATCGTCTTCGTCCTGCAAAGAGGACAATTTCTTAGAGTAGGTGAGGAGAAGGAGGGGGGGGGGGAGGGGATGCCTGGATCATCTCTGTTCCGATTAGAGTTTAGAAGGGGTACAGTCGTGCTCGAGTTGCTGCTTGCCTGCCAGGACGGTCGGCTGCATTAGGTCACAGAATGTCACAACTGGAAAAAAGCACTGGTTTTTCATCTGGCATTCCCATAGGTCAGGGGTGTCAAACATACGGACCACAGAGGCGGTCCAGCCCGCCGTCAGTTTAAGAAATTTCTGCTTGGATAGACTGTCACCACAAGTATCAGAG